TTTTTTTTTTTTTTTTTTTTTTTTTTTTTTTTTTTTGTCTTCAACTCGTTCTTTCTAAAGTCTCCCTTAGAAGTTATCCCGGCCTCTTGGCGTTATCGACAATGTTACCGGGATTTCCGAGCTGGCTTCTTCGAACCCGTTCACGTCTTACACATCCCGAATACCGGTATTTGTAGCTAGGCGATTCAAAGAAGAAAGACTGGATTAAAAGATCTCGTGGTCCGTTTGAAATTGTAATGCGATATAATAAACTTTCTAAAAGTAGAATTTCTACTTGGTAGATTCGACGACGAATTAGTTTATTTGTGGAAAAGCTTTAACGTTTTAAACGAGGTATGAATAGTCGAAGATCGATATTATTATTTCTAATATCCTTTTATGAGGATATATATGATTGCTGGACATTCTACTGCCAACGTTCGTTTCTTATCGCTCGCTCAATTTCCTATAAAGAAAGGTGTGCGTTAGAACGCTGTGCGATTTGGCAGTTAATATTTTTAATATATACAATGCACGCGATCATAATATTTTGCTACAATATTTTGCTATAAAAACTTCGATACTTTTTGCGAATTTATAATAATATCGCGTTATTCGTGTGTATGTAACTTTACCTGATCTAATCTAAATGGTCTCTGTAATAAAAGTTGGACGACTGAAAATTGAGAGATATTTATAAAATAGTAGAATTAAAAGATAATAAGACATATCATTCGCGATGATATCAAAGGGGGGATTTCTTCGATAAATACTTAGATTTTTAATTAGATATTGAAGATCATTTCTCTCAATTATTCAACTTTTATTATACAAAGATACCAATAACGTTCGCACCTTCTGAGTTAAACACTTCGAAAGAGGTATAGACAAAAATAGTATGTATATATATATATACATACGCGTTTGGTCGCGTGTGTAAATGTATTATTTCGATAGGACACACGGTTTCCCCTCGGGAACCCTGAAAACGAGGTCCACGAAAAGACACGCGATCTCTTCCCTCTGTGGAGCTCGTTTGAACGTTTGGCCTGTGGTTTTGTTGGTTGCAGGAGCGAACGGAATGCGCAGGCGCGGCCGCCAGACCTACACGCGCTACCAGACGCTCGAACTGGAGAAGGAATTCCACACGAACCACTACCTCACCAGGCGGAGGCGGATCGAGATGGCACACTCGCTCTGCCTGACGGAACGGCAGATCAAGATCTGGTTCCAGAATCGGCGGATGAAGCTGAAGAAGGAGATACAGGCGATCAAGGAGCTGAACGAACAGGAGAAACAGGCGCAGGCGCAGAAGGCAGCGGCAGCAGCGGCCGCGGCTGCGCATCAGCAGCAAGCGGCCGGTGGGGGACCGGAGGGGGCCAACTAGGGGTACGCCCTGCACCGGAGCCCCCCTGACCACCCCACCACCAATCCACACCACCCTCTGCTAGCACCGCAATGTACACAGCTATATTAAAGGTGAGTGACTTCTTCGATACCACCAACCATTTTTATTATTTTTTCCTTTTGCCTCCTTTTATCCTTCCACTTTTTATCTTTTTTTCTTCCTTCTTTTTTCTCTTCCCTCCTTTTTCCTCTTTCTTCTTGCGTCTCGCTTGTTCGCATTCACGCTTCAAGCCTTTCTCTCCTTCTCTTACTTTCCCTCCTCCTCGCTCGCTTAACCTGTTAAACGCCAATTTCTAGCTCGATCGAAAACACCTTCTGTGCGCGGGGATCGGCCTCGAGATATTTTATGCTTTCGGAAATTGTTTCAGATTAATCGTTCGAAATAGATCGAGTCGCAATTATGTTAAATGAATTAATATAGATATACTAGTCGAAAATAATATTAAGAGATATTATTTTTTTTTTTTCATTAATTTTAAAAATAAGAAAATTATATTTTATATCAAAATTTATAGCTTACGAAATTTTTTTTACATATTACTTTTCTTACAGCGACATAAAAGTATAAATTATCCCGAAAAATACACAATTACATCACGATTTTAAAATCTTTTAATCATTCGTCTTGACATAGAATCAAACAGACTTTTTACCAACAAATTCCTTAAATTAAAAACGCATCGAGAATTTTCTTTCTTATTCTTCGTCAAACAAATTGCCTGCAATCATAGAAAGCTTACGTTTCTCATGGCTTGATAAATCTTCCAACGAGCTAACCCTTCCGGATTCACGAGGGGTGAGAGTCGCTACCCGTTGGTAAATGGATTCCTCGACGAAGTTGAGCAATTCCGTTCCGCGAGGTCTTGAGCATTAAGCCCGATACATCATCGGCGAAAATTACCGGATCCCGAAGAAAACGTCGGCTAGAGTTTGTTGCAAATGGTGGGGAGGGTCGGCTTTTAGCCGACTCCCCGGCCTTTAAAATTAAGTTTAGCCGGTACACTTAATGAGGATAAACCACCTGCGAGCGTGCCTCCATAATTTTCTAAGTTATTCTGTTTGCGTGCATTTAACTCTCTCGCGAGCCTTCTGCATCTCGAGGGTGGTTGGTTGTTGTTGCCGAGGCAACTGGTCCAAGCTTGAAATGTGGCTCCATCGTGATTTCAATATTTTTCTATATTACATAGTATATACAGACCGTTAATGAAGCGACTGCAATTTGCAAGATTCTCAGTTT